CTCTCTCTCTCTCTCTCTCTCTCTGTTTTACTTTTCCTTTATATTCTTGCATCCTCTATTTATCCTTTACCAGCCGAACGAACGATACGAGTTACGACGTTCTTTCGACAAACTTTCCAGGCATCTTTTCGTCCTCGTTATCATCTCGATGACTCTCTTCGTCTAATACCGTTTCCTTACCCTTTCACACTTTTTAACCCGTTTCCCTACATTTTCCCTCCTCTTATGTACGCGTAAACTGAGATATACGAGGGCATGTAAAAGTCTCCCTACTAGAAGGACTTTGTTTCTCCTTTCAAAAGGTCCTCCCCTTCGTACTTAGAAAGGTGTTTTATTCACCAAGGACAACGCATACTTTTAGCATTTCTTCTTTAGCAAGTACTTTCCATCATAGAGATACCTACCATCAGGATGGCTTTCCCAATAAGATCTTACGTATCTTTAACGTGTTCAAAGATATTTGAGGAACAGATAAATCTTAAGAGAATATAAATTGTCAACTATATCTCCTCTCTCAACAAAATTCCTTAAATTAATCATAATCCCTTTGAGATTCTCGTCGTTTCATAAATTATTTACGTTTAGAGATGGCCACCGAATTAGTCGAATATTGTGTAATATTTAAATAATTAAATTTTAGTGAGACACAATTTTTGCTGAATGAGAAAATTAAAAAAGTGGAAGAGTAAGAAAATGAAAAGAACAAAGAAAAAAAATAATAAGAAGAAAAAGAAGAAGAAGAAGAAGAAAAATTAGATTTTAATCCAGAGACGAATCGTATCAGCGCAGATAATTAACCCCTGGTCACGACAGAGGAGAAGCGTTAAATCCACCCTTCTATCTCTATCTTTATCTCTCTCTCTCTCTCTCTCTCTCTCTTTCCTTCTCGCTCGAGTTTCGCGTACTCGAGCGTAGAGAAAGTGCGCCGAGTCGAGAGTAATTTAACGCGCCCCGACGAATGGTCATTGATTTGCGAAGCATCAAACTTCGAGAAAGTTACCCTCGCATCAGGAGTTACTCCCCTTCGAGCATCAACCCTCTCACGTCTCGAACCCCGTCTCTGGCAGCTCTGTCTCTCTCTCTCTCTCTCTCTCTCTCTTCTCTTCTCTTTTCTCATTGTGTTCCACCGACTCGCTAGCCCGCCGCTAGTTTGTTCTTCGACTGCAGTTACCGGATTCGATTTAACTTCTCAACGTAGTAGCCGATGTAGCACGAACGAATGCGAAAGACCGAGCAAGTAAGAAAGATAGACGAGAGAGAGAGAGAGAGAAGGAAAGATGACGCATTTATATCTGTGTGAGTTTATATGGATAAGAGAGGAAGATAAAGAAACAAGGGCTACAACTAAGAACAATTTGCCAATATCGAAGATGTTTGTCGATAAGTGTCTGCCATTGGTCGGTAGCAGCTGCTGCTGCTAGTTACCAAAGACTCCCAATTTACCATCTTATTGTCCCGATATGCGTTGCTTTCTCATTTTATTATCTCAATTTTTTTTTAATTCTTTTGGAAAGAAAAAATCAATCATTCGTTCGTTCTCGTTTAACATTAACACGTTAGCTCACGTTCGTTCTCTCTCTCTCTCTCTCTCTCTCGATTTTATTTCGTATCTCTTACAATTAGTACGGTTATCCGGCAACACAAACAAAAATTGTGTTGTACAAACCGAACAAACGAAGTCAATTTTGAAGTTGGACGATTGTCGCAAATAAATCTAGATAAGGAAAGGTATATCGCGTTAGTAAACGACAAATCGGCGTTTGCTTGAATGATTCGAGAAGAGAGCAATATTCCTCTTGGAAAGTTGACTTCTCTTCTCTTTTCCTTTGAACTTGGATATCCATACCCTTGTGTAACGGATATATTACTTGTCCTTACCGACTACACTACGTTCCATCTTTTTACAACCTCTTTTTCCTTCTGGTTCTTTTCTTCAAACGAATAAAAAACGGTTTAATACGATTTTGAGAAAACGCGCGATCTACGGAGAATACCTTAGAAAGGGTTGCTACTACTTTCAAAGAGTAAATCGAAAGACTTCTTTTACATAAGAAGAAGAAGAAGAAGAAGAAGAAGAAGAATACTTCTCTCGTGTCTATCTCTATCTATCTATCTATCTATCTAGCTATATATCTGTATACACATACAAAAATATATAGCGAAAATATATACGGATGAAAGGGCAGAAAAAGATTTGGTGTTCCGTCGGAGAATGTATCTTTCTCTCATCTCTTCGTTTTCGAGATGACATGACATACGGCGGTAGGATCGATAGGACACCACACCGATCGTAAATGAATTCCCCGCGTTTCATCGGGACGAAACCAAATTTTCGAGTCTACGTTCCCACCGGTGCCTACACGTTCGCGTCGAAAATCAAACGCACTTTCATATCTATAGCGTAGAACGAGCAGACGAGTTCCGCGTGCACCAGCCAAAGAGATAGAAAGAGAGATAGATAGATAGATAGAGAAAGAGAGAGTGAGAGAGAATGGTGTATGGTTAGAGATGAACTTGAGTTCGACGTTGATTGGAAGAAGAGGAACCGTTCGGTGGAGGAGCGTCGTCGTTTAGCCCGAGATTAATCTGTCATGGGCCGAGTGTGAAAAAGTAGCCGTTTAAGAGGGCGACTCTCGTTTGATTGGCAGCTCTCGAGAGGCCCCTCTTCATTCTCTCCTTCACTCTCTCTCTCTCTCTCTTACTCTCTTTCTTAGTCTTGGTTCTCGCGCGCACGTTTTGCTGCTGGAGACGACGCGCGTTCGAGTCGGAAGTGGTGCGAAAGAGGGGCGAGACTTTATTTTGGGCGGACGCGACGTAAGAGAGAGAGAGAGAGAGAGAGAGAGAGAGAGAGAGAGAGAGAAGGAAAGAGGGATGAGAATGGCAGGGGGTGGGTGGGGGCTTGAGGGTGGAGAGGAGGAGTGAGTGGGTGAGAGGAGCCGCCAGTCGTCATCGTCATCGTCGTCATCGTCATCTTCTTCTTCTTCTTCTCTCGAACTTTGTAAAGGAAAAGAGTTGGCTATGGGAGGGTAGTGGGAGGAAAGGAAAGGAAAGGAAAGGAGTTAGCGAGTGAATGAGTAAGAGTGAGAGAGATAGATAGAACGTGTTCGTGTATAGTCGTCGGTGCTCCCTCTCTCTCGGAGTGTGCGCGAGCGCGATAGAAGGTTCGACCGGCGTCCGCCAGGAGGCGCCCCCTCTGTGGCCGGCCTAGGTCCGCGCGAGCGGCCCGCTCAGTCTAATTTGAACCGTCGCGCGCGCCCGACGCGGGCTCCGACGACGAACCCTTCTCCGCCGAGACGTGACACGAGGTCCTCGTGCACGCGACAAAGACGCCGCCGACACGACGTAAAATCGTATTCACCCGACGAGAAAATATTAATCCGTCTACGCATATATATAATCGTCGTTTGTTAATCATTAAACAACAAGATACAAACAAATTCGCGTTCAATTGTTATTTCATTTTATTTTTGATTTTTCTCATATTATCAAATTTTAATTCATTACAATATATTTAGATCATATCAATTGATCGACCAATTATTATATACGTCGTCGATCTACGTTTAATCGCGCGTGTATTATTATAATTATTTTTTTCCTTATATTATATTGCAATTTTCCTCGGCCCCCTTTATCTTCCGGTGTTCCTCCCATTTTCTGTACTTTTACTTATTTCATCATTTCCGTTTTTTCTTTTCTTCTTCTTCTTCTTTTCCTTTTTCTTTTTCTTTTTCTGTCATATAGAAAATGAGATCGATTTGACACGTTCCATCCAGAGTTTGAAAAGTGACGACCGTAATTTATTTTTTTGTTTTATACGTTCGACGATATTATTTTGACATTTTTGTACGTCGTATCTCGTAACGCGCGCGGAGACACGCGGAAATAAGCGAGAGAAGAGAGAGAGAGAGAGAGAGAGAAAGATATAAAAGAAAAGGAAGGAAAGGGAAAAAAAAAGCAAGGGCAGCAGCAACAACAGCAACAGCAATAGAAGCAACAACAAAGATTTGAAAGAAGTGCGCGCGGGCGCACGCGGGCGATCACGGGGAAAAAAAAAGGAGAGAGAAGAAAGGGTGGTGGTTGGTGGTGGTGGTTGGTGGTGGTGGGCCGCGCGGCAGATCGCGTGGGCAAATCGGCCGAAGTCTTTTTTTCGAAGGACGATAAAGCGAGATGCGTCGAGATGATTCCGTGTCCTGAACGGACACCCTCGGACAGATTATTACTGATACCGAACGCGATCTCCCTAATCTCGCCCGACCGGGACTGTCGTCTCTATCCGTGCCGAGATCGTCTTCTCTCTCTATCTATCTTCCTCTATCGTAAGCGCGAACTCGCGCGACGATGAAGAAGACGATATTGAGCGCGACTGCGAGGGTGAAAATGATTATGACGACTAATACGACGACAAAGACGACAAAGACGACGACGAAGATGAGACTATCGCGAATCTCTTCGGTGGACGACGCGTCGACGTCTTGTTATTGTTTTTACCGGTGGTACAACGCGTCGTGAACGATCGAACGAGAGAGAAAGAGAAAGAGAAAGAGAGAGAGAGACGTTTGAGAAGATACTTTTAAAGCAAAAAAGATTTTCAAAAAAGAAGGAAGGAAGAGAGAGAGAGAAGAGAATAGATTCGGAGAATAGAAAAAGTTAATAAGGTTCGTCAGAAAGGACAACGGAGGATTACGCGACGGGGTGGTTCCTCTCTCTCTCTTCGGGGTGACCGAGGCTTAGAGCACCTCAACCACCCCCGAGAAGATCGTCAAGCAGCTCGGACGATGTGGGCGTCTCTGCTTTTGGCCGGATTCTTAAGCGGCTGGTGGGGCGAGTTCGCTTTCGCTGCGGCACCCCCCGCCAATCGGTACATCCTCGAGGAAAGTATCTCGAAGCAAGAGGAAGCCGCAAGGACGACTGCCCTAGGCCAGGCTTTGGCATTACCAATTTTTAATCATCGTCCTCGCGAAACGAATTCCCGACTCGAGGAAAGTCAATTGGCGCGACGACCGCGACACTCGTCGTCCCAAGACGGCAAATCTCACGGCGAAATTTCTTTGAGAACATCCGCAGAAGCTGCAACAGCTTATTATCCTTCCTATCGCGAGGAAGTACCTACCGCCGACGACGGCCGTCTATCGCGTTCGGCAAAGCAACGTGAAAGGAATCGCGCAAGGGCGGATTCTCCGCGCGAGCAAAGACGCGGATGCAAGATCAAGGGTACTTGTCGAGGTCAAAATTGGTGTCCCGACATGGACGTCGGTAATAGAGCCTTCTTGGCACCCACTGTATTCGAGGGAAAGGCCAGGAGTATGTCCTCGTCGAGAAAACCTGGTACCAATTATGCCGTAACCTTCGAAGTGAAGCACGTTTATAAAAGTCAGCCAGGTTTTCCACCGCTACAGAAAAACGACAGCGTCAGGTTACACTTTCTCGACAAGACCCGGCCCGGTAAATCGACTATATGCAGATCGTATGAGAGATACGGTAACAATTCTGCTGGCAAACAACAACAACGAGGAGGAGGAGGAGGAAGTAGTGGTGGTGGAGGAGGAGGAACAGGAACAACAGCAACAGCAGTAGCAACAGTAGGAGGAGGAGAAGGAGGAAATCAGAGTGGTGTGGTGCGCGCCAATATTAAGCGAGGTAAAGTGTATCTAGTGTTTGTGAATCGCGTGGGACCCAGAAACTTCACGATCCTCGGTGAGCCGGTAGTTTGCAGCAAGAAGAACGAACAGGCGGTCCAGGCCGTCGTTCGACCGGACTACGGTGAGTAAACGACTTCCGTGTATGTATAAATAAAAGCCCAACGAAGAAAGAGAAAGAGAGAACGAGAACGAGAACGAGAATGAGAACGAGTACGAGTACGAGTACGAGCAAGAGAAAGAGAACAAGAAAAAAGGAAAAAGATAAAAAAGGTTCGTTCCTCCCTCTCGTTGCGTTACCTCGTTCGAACGTAATCGGTGATTAGCTCTTAGCCGACAAAAGTTGTCGACGGTTCGAACGAGGACCGCGCCAAGAACGCGCCCGGCGCGAACTTTTGAAGGTAGTCCAATTTACGGGCGGTCATTGCGCCCAACAACTTTTCTCTCGTCTCATCTCGTCTCATCTCCTCTCGTTCCTTCTCTTCTTCTTCTTCTTCATCTTCTGCTTCTGCTTCTTCTTCATCTTCATCTTCTTCTTCTACTTCTTCTTCCCCCTTCGCGTGATTCTTCCCTGAAATCCTCCCCGGCGCAAGCAAAACTAACCCAACGAATTTCACTCTCTTATCTCGAGTTCCTAAATTTTGCGTCCTTAACTCCGACTGTCTTAATATAGAACGCCGTAATAACTCGCGACTCCTCGTAGTACGTTCGTAAAACTCGGTACAATCAACGATGTGCCAGAAGAGCGAACGACGTCCTCGTAAATCTTTACTTTACCTCGAGACCCCTGACACGACCTTAAAGGGAATCTTTTAAAAGAATAAACTAGCTAGCTAGCTAGCCGGCTAGCCAACTAGCTCCCTTTACTTGGAATATTTCTAATATTTCTATATTTCTATAATACAATCACGCTTTGTTTATATTCATCTATTTATAATACAATATATATCTAATATAATTATATATCGATTTAATATTTCGTCTTACGTATTCTTTAATCTTTCCTTTCCTAAACTCGATTGCAATTCCCGAAGGAAGAGGAACAATCATCCTCTCTACGTAACGTTGGCAGCGTCGAGACGTAACTCGTCTCGTTTACAACGAGTTCGAAACTTAGGCGCGCTCGTTTCCTCGGCAGGTAGGACAACCGCTAGCATACAACACAACACAACACACTGCTTGGTGCTTGTTGGTTGGCTGGTTGGTTGGTTGGTGCCGTTGCGTTACTCCTTTTGCACGAAGACGGCTATCGAAAGTTACCACGACTTATCCCATTATCGTCACTCGCCGGAATTGGAAACGTCAAGGAAGAATCTTTCTCCCTTCTATTCTTCTCAACGGACACCAGATTTCTAACTTTGTTATCAGGTTTAAAGTGATTAGTCACGTACGATTTAATACAAAATACAAGAATCATTTTCATTTAATGATGAGATCAAAATTTATCTTATTTCATAGATATATTTTCATGAACTTTTTACAGATATTATTCTGCTTATATTATAGATTTATCGAAAATAATTTCGGAATAACGTGAGATTCTATAAGAAAGGAAAAAAAAAGAATATATTATTCGAGAATAAAAACACATTTTCTATTTCAAAACGGGTTTCCATTAGTAAGAAATCATTATTCCCTTGCGTAGGTGAAAATGCAAAGTTTGCGGTAAGCGTGGCTCCGCCGCATGTGCGCGGAGACGGTTTGTTGATCCGCGATCCGTAAAAGCGACTCCTTACGGCCCTCTTCCAGTTCCCGGTGACTAAGCCAGACGGGGGGCCCGAGACGTCAATTATAAGGCCTTAATCGGAAACCCGTCCTTACTTCTGTTGGCTTATAGTCGGCCGCGTTGGACTCGTGGAGGAAAAGAGAAACGGCCGAGTTGCAAGAAAGAGAGAGGGAGAGAAAGACGGATAGACAGATGGAGAGAGAAAGAGAGAGAGAAAGAGTGAGAGGGAAGGGTGCGAGCGCAACGAAGGAATCGTGCGTGCTCTCTTTTTGCATCTCTCTTTGTAAATAAACCGATTTCTTTCTCTCTCTCTCTCTCTCTCTCTCTCTCTCTCTCTTTCTTTCTTTCCCACTCACTCGTTCTTTCTTTCTTTCTCTTTCTCTTTCTCTTTCTGTACCCATATCTTCGTCTAGTCACCTTGCTTTCCTACTCGTGAGAACCTGTCGCTACGGGATTGTCCGCCACGCTCTTTTATATCGACGTCTCCCGACCGACGTCGGTCTGGTCTGACTTATTTCGCGGATCGTAATTATTTTTGTAATTATGTAAGATGGAAAAACTTCATCGCAAGATCGTTCTCGCCTTCGATCTCTCCTCTCGTCGCGGGGCAAAGTCATTGCTTCTATAGTTTATAAATTAGAAATTAGAAAGTTTCCGCTCTAATTGCATATAAAAGATTAAATAAATAAAAATAATAAAAAAGAAAAGAAAGGACGAGAAGTGGATGATTCGTATTTGAATAATCTTTTCCCTTTATTGTTTTTTTTTATTTTTATTTACTCACATCTCATTATATTTTTCGTCAAATCAATGTAGAATTTTGTTAAGTATTCAGGTGTGTGTACGAACGATTTTTCTCGAACTAGGTCGAACCATTCGTCGTCATCGTCGTCGTTTAACCCAGTAGCAAAATGTCCTATCTTCATATACGTTACATGTATACGTACAGTCTCGAAAACAATTCTCCTCTTTGACGCAACCTTCATAAACTTTGGTCTCATGTACGTTCGTTCCGTCTTGAAGCGACAACGGGAAAGTTGCAATTAAGATCCGTCTTTCTCTCTAGACCTTTGTAAGTTACGAGAAAATCTTAAGTGGCGCGGTACGTTCCACTTCCGACAACGAGGAGGAGCAGACGCTTTTAATAGCCCGACAATTTGTCCTTTACGAATAAAGTACAATAATCATTGTGGGAATATACGTATCTCCATGCATCGTGTATCTCTATAGATTATATCAAATATCCATATAATAGGTATATTTAATTATACAAATATATACTCGAACAATAATGTAACGCGAATAACGATGTGGGTAACATTAGTATAAAGATCAATTTTGAAGAGATAAGAAGAAAAAAAAGAATTGAACAAAAAAATTTGATCATCGACGAAAAAGGTGAGACGAAAAAAACGGGAGTTGGGAGGGGACCAACGAAAAAAAAAAAAGAAAACAACGAGATTCTTACTGAAATAATTATACCGACGTGTTTCAGAAAGCTACTTTTGTTAGAGGCCCGAGAACGAACGTAGCTCGTTCGTTCGTTCGTTCGTTCGCTCGCGCGCCAAAAAATGATCCCGCGCGAAAAAAGCAGATTCATCGGCGAGCGGTGCGAAGTCCCGCCAAGTCTTGCAAAGTCACACACGTCGCGAAGAACCTGTTGTTCGATTCTCTGCCAGTCTTCGGAGGGCCGTTCGTACCTTCCTCTTCTGCTTGTTCTGGTGCTCGGTGCTCGGTGCTCGGTGTTCGGTGTTCGGTGCTCGGTGCTTTCTTGCTTCTAACGCGTCGTCCCAAAATGTAAAATTAAACACCACGCATCTCGATACATCAAACATGTAGGAGGTATACGTAACCTACTCTACGTTTAGTATCGATTACTCGAGTAGTATAGAATCAAAATCGAGATACTATTGGTTATCAACTTTAACTTCTGGACTCTACGAAAACAAATTGCATTTCCTTTCTTTCTTTTAACACCACCTTCCGTTTCTTCTTTTTCTTTCACTTTTCCTGATTTTACTTTATCATCTTTCCTTCCTCGTTATTCACGAGAAAAAGGTTCCAAAGGTTCCAACCGTGAAGATTCGACTTTATTGTAGATATCGAACTTTCTGCAATATGGAAAAACTTTTTGATATCTTGACACGTTTGGCTAGACTTATTTTCGGAATGGAAGAAAATCTTATCGTTACTTCTAAGTAAATTTGATATATATCATAGTGGACATTACTCGATACTATGATTCATTTAAAACGAGAATATAAAACTAACTTAAACGTGGAAAAATCTGTTTTTTTTTGTTTAACAAGAAATATATAATTTCATCGTTAAACCTTAAAGAAAAATCTTATAAGGATTTATTTTCGAATTAAGTTGAAATTCATCGTAGTAACATAGTATCGTAAAGTGTATCGAATATATATATATATATATATGAAAGAATCATTTAATAACAGTTTTTTTTAGTCTCCCGACAAGATTGGATATTCGTTTATACTGTGCAGTAATAGTGCAGGAAAATATCAAATAGTTAAATCCCGAAAGATGAAAAATATTATTCTATCGTTAACCCTTATAAAACTATTTTAAGGATTCATTTATTACAAAAGTTAAGTCAAAATTCATTGAAGTAACAAAGTATCGTAAAGAGTGTAGTATCGAATATCCGAAAGAATCGGTTAATAGCAGTTTTTCCTCGTCTCTTGGTAAGATCGGACTTCGTCCATACTTGGTGGGAATAGAGCACGGGATACCAGATTGCTCGTATAAGGGTGGAGAACGAAGAGAAGGAAAGGGAGGAGAAGGAGAAAGAGAAGGAAGGGGGTTGAAAGAAAGGAAGGGGCGGGAGAGGGTGTCGGTGGAGATGGCTCGTCATCGCGAAAGCAGCTGAGTACGAATCCCGAGCACGTACGGCCCTGTGCCCATACTCGGAAGGAGAAGCCTCAGGTACGGTCTATATACCGTGTGGCGCGTAGGGACACATACGGACACGTGTCCGGGGACATAGGCAGGTGAAAGAAGAAGAAGAAGAAGAAGAAGAAGAAGTGGAAGAGAAAAGAAATAGAAAGAGATAGATAGAGAAAGATAGAAGAAGAAACAGCCAACAGAACAGCAGCAGCAGCAACAGCAGCAGAAACAGCAGCAGCAGCAGCAAGAGTAACAGCAGCAGAGAACTTAGTACAGAGTGAGTCCTCTTGGTGGGGGACCACACGTGTGGTGAACATATAGGCCGTGCCGCCTTCACCTCCGGCACTCCACCACTACCTCCGGCACTCCACCACCGGCAGTCGAGCAGAACCGTCGGCAGGTAGACTGCTGGGCGCGAGCGTTGATCGAGCTACGACGACGGCAACCCACCACGAGTGTAGGTAGTAGTTCCTCTCTCACCGATCGAGTCA